CGCTGTCTCTTCTGCATCATCTGCTGGGGGAGCAGCACCAGAGCAAGTGACTTCAAAAAGATCAACAAGCTCATAAAGAAGGCTGGCTCAGTTCTGGAGACTCCTCTAGAACCTTTGGAGATGATTGTTCAAAGAAGGACTCTTCATAAAATGAAGAACATTATAGACAACCCTCAGCATCCTCTTCATCAGACTGTCATACAACACCAGAGTGTCTTCAGTCAGAGGCTTCTTCAGATCCGTTGTAGGACAGAACGCTACAGGAGATCCTTCCTGCCCACAGCCACCAGCATCTACAGTGGTGTAGTCTGTGATACGCAGGTATATGGAGTATACCCATTAGAAAAACTTGGTAACTACAGTAAACCCACTGAAAAGTGCCCAATAACATGTGACATATCATCATTGGGCATGTGTCACACACTTGAAACATTTTATAGACACAATGAGTTGGTTCAACCTGTTTTTTGTATAATTAATACTTCTGTATTTACTACTTAACACTTGAACATGCTTTGCTTAGATGCTGTTTTTGTAAATTCTATGACATGTTTTTAATACAAAGCCAACTGTTGTACAAAGTTTGTTGTTCATTTATTCAATTATAAGCATCAGAGATCTAGAACAACTCTTTAATGAAACCAGGATGATGAGTTACAACATTTAATTTACCTCTGGGATTAATAAAGTATTTTTGAATCGTTATTCCAGCAAGTCCCTGTGATGGACTTATGACCCGTCCAGGGTGTACCCCGCCCCTCGCACAGTGGTTGCTGGACATGGGCACCGGCGACCCCCGTGACCCAAAATGGACGAAGTGGGTAAAAGATGATGGATGGATGAAGCAGGCAGAGGTGCAGCGATCAGACCGTTTACAGCGTGAGACACGTTAACGTTAAAATCTGCAGATATTCAGTTTGGAAATAAAATCTGAAGCTGCTGGGTAATGTCCCAAGCTGAACACATTAATTCAAACTCATTATCATTAAAGAAAAGTGACTTTTTGCCGACAACTGCAGTAAAATTAAACCAAACCTTGAGGAACAATGAAGAAAACTGATAAAACTTAATTTCTTCATCAATCATTGCCACAAATCCCCCGTTTGAAAACGTTCGTGTTCAGATTTTACATCTAGCAGCAGGTTAGGCACGACGCATCTTTGTTTTGTCGCAGAGTCACCACCACTAGACTCCGCCAGAAGTGTTTTTAACCAACCACATTACTTTGATGATGTGAATCCATTTAATGAGAAGTTTGTATGAAGATGAATTAGTCTCAAAAGTATTCACACAAGTGTACAAAATTAACAAATATATAAACAGTTTTCAAATGTACACATTTCACGGATCAGCTGCCTGTGAGTTGAGACTTTCTCACAGCTTCAGATACACAAAGATAATGCTGCGTTCAAGGAGCATTTTTATGTGGGAAATCTACCAAGAAAAATATAACGTTTACAGGAAAAATATGTTTTCAGTCATTCATATCAAATGTGCAATTCATACCAAAAAAATACAATAAATTATATTTTTCCTGGTAGTTTTTCCACAAGGAATTTTTTATTTTGTGGATCGTACAGCTGAAATAAACATCTCAAAATAGGTAAGGTATTCTTCTTGCAATATAATTTTTTTCCCCGGATGATGAGAAATAACCTCATTTCAGGCCGTTTCCCCAAAATTAATATTTTTGGAATCCAGTCACGTCAATGTAAGAGTCTGTGTTTTAATATAGGGGTTGTGAGTTAATGTGCCATGTAAGAAATTAGTCTTTTCCCAATAACTCAGTAAATCTAGTAACGCTCAGATGCCCCAGCTTTTCATCAGCCTTAAACGCAGCATTACCTTTGTTGTGAATCTGGAGGTAAAAAAAAATAAAATAGTCTCAAAAGTCACAGGCAGTTGATTCATGCGTTCATGTTGCCAGATCTGTTTGGATCAAGTGATTTGTGCACGTGTATTTACATTTATTTGATAAATTTATATGTGCAGGACATCCTACATTTTGAAGTGTGTACATTTGAAAAAACTGTTTATGTGTTTGTGAATCTAGGGTTTTGAGACTAAAATATATTTTGTAGTTTTGCTTCTTTCAGATGTTAAAAGATCAGCAACAAAACACAAAAACAAAAAATAAACGGTACATAATTTAATGTGTAAAAAACTCAAAAAGGAGGAAAAACTTCAGGTTGCAAACAGCAACACTCCCTTTTTAAATCCCTAGAGGTTAGACGGGTGTACGGTGGTTCAAGAATCGACGCGGAACACGTTGCAGAAAGCGGACCAAGCCCCCGTGAAAAGCTGTTTGACTGTAACGACTCCGATGACTTGTTTGTCTTTGACAAAGCCAAAGAATTTGGCAGGGCCTCTTGCGCTCGCTCACTGTTTAGAAATCACAGCTGGAAGGGGCGAGGCGAAAAGCCCCCCCCCTCCGAAAAATCTGTTAAACAAGAGCCTGGAGTCAAAACGACCCGCTTGACTTTTACAGGGAAATGTACGGTTTAATGAAAACAAGGTAAGCGCCCTGCTGCGAGGCTTTGGTCCTGGTGTTAATTAGCTGAAATAAGCTAACGGTTTACACTTCATGCCCCGCGCCGACTTTATTTCTTTACATTTCCCTGCCAGACAGAACCGACGCTCTTGGCTTCCTGAAAGCAGACAGCATTTCGACCGCCGAGGGAGCTTCTCGTGTAATTTGTTTACGGCAGCGCTGAGGAAGCTCTTACACTTCAAATGAAGATAAGGCGTTGTGTGAAATGTTAATCTGGCTGAGAAACAAAAGGAGGTGCTGATAAGAAGATTTAGGGCCTGAGGACCGCTGCAGAGCGTTTGCTTCTTGTGGGGGAGATGAACAAGAGTCTGTAAAGGCTCTTCACGTTCAGAGCAGGAGCTGAAGTCTCTGTTTATGTCCCAACAACAACCTGCTTCTGGGGGAGGGGGCCAACCTGGAGTCATCGGTGTGACTACATGCAGACGACCAGCGTGCACAGACAAACAGAAGGTTTGGTAGATTTTAGTAGTGATTTACTTTGCTAAAAATCTGAGCTCCTCCCCACTTCCTGTGCATAGATGGTGCAGTGTCACCAGCTGGTCTGACGAGCCCGAGCGTTTGTGTTCAGCTCTGCATTCCAGAGCATTACGCAGACGGACTGACCCGTATCGTCAAGACAAGTCCTGCAGCTCCGCCACAAACACTCCTGCCCACGTGCAGCTCCCTTTAAAGCCTCTGCCTGCGACAACAGCAGCCCATCCTGATCTGCTGGACGTCCACAGAGCTGCTAACTCTGCAGCTCAAAGCTCGTTGGGCCACTCGAGCTGCATCTAAAACGTCTGACCTGTTGGTCAATGTTGCCAGATAGTCGAGGTTTTCCAGCCCAAAAATCTGTTGAAAACTGCCACATCACACAAAAACCTGCCCAATTAATGTACTGTTATATTTACTGTTTGAACATGAACGCACATCAGTGCAAGCCAAGGTAATTTTAGACAGTATATATATGTACATAAATACACACACACACACAATACCCCCCCCCCCCAGTAAAGATATATTGGTGTTTTTATATTCATCGATGTGATTAAATCAGTTAAATGTAAACGTTAGTGCTCTTTATTCAGAAACGCAACACGTCACATTTCAGGATCTGGTTATTAGACACAGATTAAATGTTAAATATGAATATTTCTATATTTATCACCACAGTAATGGTGTTACACACAGTAGTAACACTCAAAATAATACTTATGTTGGTTTAGTGCTTACCTATAACCTAAACAGTTGAGGAGTAAACATTTTTAATAATCATGGTAAAAGTTACAAATGTTTTCTTTGGTTCATGTTTGTTTTCCAAATATATTAAAAGTGTGTGTGAATGACAGGAATCAACATAAAACACTTTGTAGAACGGTGCTTTATGAAGTTCAGTCCATTTCCTTGCATCAGTTGACCGGCAGTTCTGCCTCATCCAATATGGCGGGCGCTCAGACGTACCGCTGCAGCGGGCCAGCCCCCTCAACAAGGTGTCCACTAAAACAAGCATAATTTATTGTGCCGCCTCTCCAGTTCTGTTGTAAACGCCCTGGCAGGTGACAATAGCCAATCAGTGATGGAGAAAGGTCAGGGGAGCTTTGAACCAATAATGATGAATGATTGTTTGAAATGTGTTTTAATAGGTTAACTCCAAATCCACCCAAATTATCCCCACCCACCAGCCCAAAGCAAATTTTACCCACAAAATCAGAATGAAAACCGCCCTATCTGGCAACGCTGGTGAATCAGAGGCTGAGCTGGGACTGTCCCACCCAGCATGCCTCACCGGGAGGGGAGGGGCTTAGGCTGAGGTGGAGCAGAAAATAAAGAGGGGGAGGGTGCCTCAGGGTCACGAGGTGGAGATAGAAGGAAGAGGTGCAGGCTTTGTTTTTGTTTGTTTGTTTACATTTACACTTCAAGACAAAACAAACTCGCAGACTTCCATCATTACTTTGTGCTGAGCAGCTGCAAGATTTCAGCAGAAACACATAAACCCCTGAAGCTGACAGAAGTTTTTTTAAAGAACTTGACAAAATACACTAATACGATCACAAACGTTCAAAAATCTGTTTCCTTTGACATTTGAACTGAAGGTACTGACTGAACAGCAGGACTGCACAGAATAAGAAACATTTCATATCAACGTGTAACTCCATGTGTTATTGTTGAGTATTAAGATGCAACTCCTGTTTGTCATCACAACAGTGCATGTGCTGGTGTGTGCGTGTGTGTGTGTGTGTGTGTGTGGGGGGCATCATGTGCCATAAAAATATTGATCTAACAGTTTGTGTCTGAAGCTTACTGGAATATTGTTTTTGAGATATTAATAAATTTACAACATATTGTGGCAGAGAAAATACTATTTTCCATAAACCCACAGAGAAGGCCGAGTCTACGTGGACGAGTTATTTGTTTCTCCAGATGTGCAGACACATCTGTGCACAATGTGTGTGTACGAGTGTGCTCTTACTTCTTGAACGCCTCCGTTGGGTTCCTCTCGCACTCCCCGGGCTGCAGGGTGCTCTGCGCGGCGTGCACCTTCTCCTCGTACCCCGGCACCAAGCCGCTGCGGCAGATCTGCGCCACCAGACCTCGGATGAAGCCGCCGACGCACAGCGTGTCCGAGTCGTCGGCGCGGCAGAAGTGGAACGCCAGGCTGTGCTGGTGCAGACCGCGCTGGGTTCCCTGGGCCGAGGTGGGCCACAGCAGCTCCGTGCACAGCGCTGTTTTCCCGCTCCCCGGTCCTCCCACCAGCAGCACGCCCCAGGAGTTCCCGGACTTCACAGATCCCGGCAGGGGAGCTCCGGGGATGGACGCACCCCCTCCTGGTAGAGGCTGCTGGCTGGGCGTGCTGCCCACTCCGCTCAGGCTGTTGGTCTTCTCCTGGAGGCAGTGCTGGATCTTGTGGAAGACCCACTCCCGGCAGTAGAAGCGCTTCCCCTGCAGCAAACTGGTTTGGGCCATCTTGAACTAACGCTGCTGGTTGCTCCTCCTCATAGGGCTCCCCTCGTTTCGCCCCACATGTTTTCAACTAGTCAATCTGAACATCCATTTTCTCAGCTGCGTGTAGCAGTTCTCACGTGTTTATTACTGTTGCGAAAAGAAGAAAGGGCAGAGAGGACGCAGCTCGAGTGGAAAAAAAAAAAAAAAGAAGCTTTTCTTCTGAGCTGCGGCGCGTTACAGAATATCTAGAACAAGAAATAAAAACGGAACGGTGACATCAGAGCTCAAACCAAAGATTTTCCACCAACTTTTTCCACAGCTTTCCCACTGGCGTGTGCTGCGTGGTGCTGTGCACATGTTGCTTTGGCATGGCGCTGGGTCAGAAGGGGCGTCCGGGCTCGCATCCGCCGGCAAACTCAAGTCACCGCCGCTCCGTACCGTTAGCCACCGGACGTCCAGGTGCATTTCCACTGAAGCATGACGAGCGAAGGTGCGTTTCCATTACACGAAGGCAGATGAAGCTTCCAGTGCTGAGTCACTTCCTCCAATAACCAGGTTCTTTCCCTGGAAAACAGACAGCAGAACCCAAAAATAAAACATTCAACAGTAAAATTAACAAGCAAATCTCCTTATTACTCATACAGACATCATTTAAAGTCTCAGAACAACAAAAACTAAAGAGGTCTTCCAGCAGAAAAGCATTTCCGCTCATCGCTACAATCAATGCAATAACGTTAATCCTCCAAAATATCTCATGAATCGCTGATTAGGTTTTAGTAAACCTTTCACAAATTAATCACTGGTTCACATCAAGAAATGGTTACTGTTTAAATGGACTGTACTTATATAGCACCTCTCTATCTGATCAACATACTCAAAGCTCTTTACAACACAAACAGTGCACTCTACGATTTCTCAAAGCTAACTGAACAAATTATTCTAAAGAGACTAATCAGAGCATTCATGCACCGATGGGACACACACAAGAGGCATTGAGGGGTTCAGTGTCTTGCCCAGGGACACTTCAGCATGTGACTGCTGGTGGATTCGAACCCCCAACACTTGCATTGGAGGACGACTGCTCTAACCACTCATCCATTAGAGCAGGGATATTCAACTGGCGGCCCGGGAGCCATATCAGGCCCACATGTGAGCTCAGCTCGGTCCGCCAATGGGTTCATTTTAAAATAAAACTAGATTTTAAACTTTAAAACAAACTTAATGAGAATAACTGCTGGACGTCCGGCCCCTGAGCTCTTGGCTTTAAGTGACTGTGGCCCCCTGAGCAATTTAGTTGAATAGCCCAACCCCATTCAAGATGGCTGCCACAGCAAAGCAACTCCAGCAAACACATGAATAAGACCATTTTACAGATATTGGGCTAAAATTTGGTGTGGTAGTAGCTGAGAGTCATTGATGTGCTTTCATGAGATCTGCATACATATGTACATATGCATGCTTAGATGTGCATGTATGTACACATGTATATAGGTTAATCATGAATGTAGTACTCCCTACCACCTTGTGCATGTGCATATAGTCTTTGTTTTTTTCTGGATAAGTACAAAATGCTACTGGATGCCTTGAACTGCCCCCAGGATTAATAAAGTAAGTATGTATCTATCTTCCATGTTATTTATAAAAATCGTGTCTCAACGTAACACTTTACGTCTAAATCTCCTTTAAATACCACCAGAAAAAAAACAAGGATCTTGCAGCTAAAAACAGACGAGTGCAGGTCCAGACCTCCAACTACATTCTTGGCAAGTTTGTCCAGTTTCTCAAGTCGATCCGCAGATCCAGTCTTCTTTCCTTTGGGGCTTTAAATCCCCAAACGGTCCACATCCGTCCTGAACTGGGTGTGTGGTGGGGAGTCCAAAAAAAAAACCACAAAAAAAAAAAAAACTGGACCCTCTGTTTCCTTTACAAGACTTGATGTTATAAGCTGCAAAGTTAACAAAAAAAAATTCTCAAAGAAACTAAATCAGCACAGTAACATCCTGACATCCACCGGCTGCCACCATGTGTGTTTGTTTACCTGCAGAAACAGCCGAAGGGACTGATCTTCACCCTGATACCTACTGCCCTGCTTTGTTTACGTTGAGTGCATGCCTGCATTTCACAACTGCATATTAATAAATCTGGAAAACTACTAGCATAAACTCCTTCAAACTGCATTGCTTCATGCAACTCAGTTGGATTTCATATTTTGCATTCGAGTACCTGATTTTTCACCTTTAAAAAAAGGAAAAAGTGGTTAAATTAGAGCCTCGTGGTTAGGGGGTTCTTGCTAAAATGCACGTTGGCTCCATTTCTATGTAACAAACCAGGACTAGTGTAAGAAACTAAAACATTTATCAGGTAAAAGCCACACGGAGACGAGAAACCATGTTCCCCCGTCAGGCTGCAACAGTCCCACCTTTCTGTTGGTGCCTCCAACACAAAGCTTCCTTTAACACAACGAGGCTGAAAACGGCGTTTTTCAAGGCAAAAATGGCCGGACGAACCTCACCCATTTTCACTTAGGGGAAGGTTTTTACACCTGTGGGGGGGCTCTACGTTTTTATTTTTTTATTTTTAATAAAAAAAGAGCACATTATTAGCTACAATGTCGCCTAACGCCGCTGTTGTTTTAACTTGAATTCAACGTTTTGGCCTCAGGTCGTTTTAAATGGACTGGATCAAGCCGAACCGGTTCCCATCTCACCTCTTTTCCGCTGGTTTTACAGCCGGGGGGGGGGGGGGGGGGGGGGGTGTCCCGCTTTGTCCGTAGTGTCGCCCCCTCTTCCGTTAAAACCAAACGTCTCAATTCGTTCGGCCGTTTTTCGCAGCGTCGCCCAAAAACCGGGTCCCGAATATTCCGGAACAACGTCCCCGTCTGTCTTCGAATCGGTATTTTCTGTCGAGGAGGAGAAGGGGGGGTTGTCGGCGGCGGCTCCTCCGGCTGCCCGACCGACACAGCTCCACCGTGAGCCGAATGACTCCCCGCCTCCGAACTCTCCACATAAACCGTTCCCACTCTGCCTGCGGAGGAGAGCGCGAGCCGACGGCCGCCGCAAGGCCTCATGGGACGTGGAGTTTTAACGTCATTGATTAAATTTTAAACGAACCGTACAAACCAAGGTTAATGTAAAAAGTCAAACAAAATGTATAATCCATATATTAATCTATATTAGCCTCTAGTGCTATATAGTGACAAATTAAACCATAAATTATTTGCATTAAGCACCCCTAAATTTTAACTCAGCACCCCTAAAATCAATCAATCAATCAATCAACCTTTATTTAGACAGGTAAATCCCATTGAGCCTCGAGGACTCATTTACAAGAGAGACCTGATTTCAACAAAGAAAGATGACAACAATGGACAACAGCAACAACAATAAACAGTTATAAAAAAAGCATACTACAGTTTTTTTTTTTTTTTT